GTGTAGTACGTGTGTGTTAGGAGCTTTAAAGGGTTTGGTTGTGGGCCCACGTTGTGGAGTCTTTTTGTGGGGCGATACACGTGTCAGCGAGCGAAATTACTACGTAAAAAAAAAAAAAATCAAACTCTTGAGAGTGGGATTAATGTGTAATGATTTATTATCAACTTGAGAGTGCAAAATGGTACTATAAGGTAAAAATGTGCTAATTAAAATTTAAATTTTCATTCATTTGAGAGTATTATTGGTCCAAATTAAAAAAAAAAAAGAATTATTTAGAACTAATTTTATATAAAATAATCAACCATTGATAGATCATATATAGTTAAAAATATATGACTAAGTAAAGAGATTATAAATTTGATTTAATATAAAACTAATAATAAAACATCCATTGATCATAAGAATATGTGAATAAGTAATAGTATTATTTATTATTTTTTATAGAAAATATATTATAATAATAATATTTTAATTGAACTACAATAGGATTGCATTGATTTAAGTAAAATAATGAATATTATATTTTGTTGGAAACTTAGTTATAAAAACTTGGGTTTTACTAGATTTTTATTGAATTTTTTATGGCTAATATTAAATTGAGATTGGATTAAATTGTGTAGAAAATTTCTATATTTCGAGTAGATACTCATGGTATACTTTTTTTCAAAATTAATTTTCCGTGAGTTAGAAATAAATGATTATCGTTAGCCATAAACGGACACGTAAAACTATGGTTGTGAGATTCAAAAGGTCAAGAGTTCTTTTTTTCCCTCATTGAACTTTTAAACGAGATTAACTATATTCAACTATAGTAAAGAGAATTAAAAATGTCACAACAACACCAACAACAATAAAGTTATGCACCAAGTGTTGGTGTTGGTTTCGGCCACACGCGCGTCGGTCGGCTCATCTCAGGCACAGGCACAGGCCATGGACTTGGGCCTTGATACTTGACAATAGAATTTTGGGTTGGTCTTAGGCGGTCTTTGTCTTGGTGTTGAGCTTGGGCCTTGGCCCAGTTCTTATAACCCAATATAAAACCCAAAATCGAGTAAGGTATGAACTCGAGTTTTGGCCCAACCCATGTTAGACCTGGACGTTGGGCTGTTATAACTTATCCCACTTGAGTTGAAAGTCCTATAAATAGGACAATGTAGAAGCTACCAAATATACATAAGATATACGTACGCATCACACTCTCTATTGAAAGCCTCACACAACATATCATATACATTTCTCAGTTTTCGACTCTATTCGTGTTCGCCGGAGCTTTGAAGTTAGGTGTGCTATAGCTTCCGAGTTAATAGTCATTGTATCTTTGGGGACTAGACGCACAGAGTCATGACTTGGGCTATAGTACTCACTATGTTAGCACTATACGTGACGTATTTGTTTTATGTTTTAGTTCCAATTGTAAGAACTAAACACTTCAGTTCATAGGTTTCTGTGTATTTAACCATTAAATTTGTAACAATTGCAAGGCAAATATTCACACATACTGAACTGATGACATCCACCGGATAATGTTCGCAAACTCAACAGTAGCAGCAGTTGATCAACAATTTGTTCATCATCACCATCTCATACCTGTTGTTCATGTCCTGACTACTAAAAAGCCCAAGAAATTCAATGGGCTTGACTTCAAGGGGTGGCAGCATAAGATGCATTTCATCCAAACCACCTTGGGTTTTGTGAAGTACCTAAAGGAAGACACTCGGGTTCTGGCTGACAATGAAACCAATGTTGAACTTCGCGTTGCGTACAATGCTTGGGACTAAGGTGATTACCTTTGCCAAAATTACATCCTAAATAGATAGAGTAACAAGTTGTACAATGTGTACATGTCGATTGGTTCAGCAAAGGAGTTTTGGGCAGCCTTGGAAAAGAAGTACAATTCTGAGGATGTAAGGGTAAAGAAATTCGTCTTAGGAAAATTTCTGACTTCAAGATGGTGGACTCGTAAACCGTGGTGTCTCAAGTGCAAGAGTTTCAACTGATCTTGCACGACATCCATGCTAAAAGGATGACTCTAAGCGAGTCGTTTCAAGTTGTGACTGTGATCGAGAAGCTATTATTCGGTTGAAAAGACCTTACAAAACTACCTCAAGAATAAAAGGACTAAGATAAGTCTTGAAGACCTGATTGTTCGTCTTCGGATTGAGAAGGACAATCGTAAATCTTCGGGAAATGTCTCGATGATGGAGACTCGTGCTAACTTGTTGGAACAAAGCAACTCGAACAAAAGGAAGCTCCTTAACAAGGAGAAACAACCCGACAAGGTTTGGAAATTCATTAGCAACTGCTATAACTGTAGAAAGTCAAACCATATGCCTAAGTACCGCAAGAAACCTAAGAAGACTGGGTCAAAGATGGCGCAACTTAGGGTCCTCGTTGTTGAACACGGCCTTGTGCCAGGTGAATTAACCGACCTATATATGTCGGTTGTAATGTTTGAAACCAACATGATGCATAACTCAAGGTAATGGTACATTGATACTGAATCCACTCTTCATGTCTATTCCGACAAGGAGTTATTTTAAGACCGCGCTTCTTCTACTAATACTCTATATGGGCAACTTCTGAAAATGAGTTTGAACCTTAAAGATGTTTTGCATATCTCGGATATATGAGGATATCCCATTGTCAGTGCACGTATATCCTTAACTCATCAGAATTATAACTAAACAATTATGATTCTCAGGAAAAAATAAAAATAAAAAATAAAACAGTTTGACGAATCCAAAC